TCACTCTATCCACTACACCACCACCCACTCCAAAATGAGTATGCAGTTTTTTTTTTTATCAATCATTTCTTTGTTTAAAAATGTGTCCATTGTTCCTTTTTTAAACCAAATAAAACAAAATAAAAGAAATAAACCAAGGATAAAACGACACCAAAGAATAAAAAGGAAGGCCTGAGATCCCCTGAGTCTGTATAATCTCAAAATTCACAATACATGTAACACATCCTAACTGGCCTCGCAACACTGATCAGACAAGCCAACGACTCAAGAGAGAGTTTGGCGCTGAGAAGACTCTTTATATAGGCTATTTTCATGTAGAAAATGTGAAAAATGGAATAAATTAAAATAAAAGAGAGGTTTGCTTTATTTAATGAAAAGAAATAAAAATATAACTGGAGGCCGTTAAAAGGAGCTAAAATAAATAAAACTTAAATACGAAATATGAAAAAACTACAGGGACGCTGGCTGCCGACGATGCCCACAGATGGTGCTGCTGCTGGCTAGAAAGTGGGGGACTCGCCTAGTCTGGACTTCTCGCTTAGTGGGGGTACCTCACGTCCGCTACAGCCCCATTGTTAACAACAGCAGTACGGTAGCTGACTCCCTCAGGGTCACTCCTTCACTTGCAAGCAAGGTTGAATTCACACAGCATACCATCTGAATTGTCAAAGGTTGGTGGTGAACCTATGGCATGGGGGTTACGTGCTGTCCTGGCTGCCATCTGGCGATCCGTACCGTTCCCCCTGAGCTGTTCAGAGGACTACAGCAATCACCGAGGCATCAAACTGCTCAGTATTGCATGGGCAAGGTTCTTGCCCACACCCTTCTGAGACGTATCAGAGACCACCTACTGAGGTATCAGAGACTGGAGCAATCTGAATTCACACTTGTTGTCCACAATAGACCCTGTCCCAGCGCTTCGAGTCATTGTTGAGCACCGTCGTGAGTTTGGGCGTGGGCTCCTTGCAGCCTACATCGACCTCAAGAAGGCGTTTGATACGGTGCATCGGGAATCATTCTGGGAAATCTTGAAACTGAGAGGAATTCCAACAAGGATTACTGGACTAATAGCAAGCCTGTTTACTGTTACTGAAAGTACTGTAAACTCTGTGTTGGGGGGGGGGCTGTCAATCAAAGTTGTGTCCTTGCACCAACACTTCATAACACTTGCATGGACTGGATACTTGGCAGAGGTACTATTCAAAGTTATTGTGGAGCAACTCTGGGCAATATCAAGGTTACAGACCTTGACTTTGCAAATGATGTTGCTATTCTATCTGACTCTTTGGAAACCTTCGAGGTGGCTGTGGATGCTTTTAGTAATGAAGCGAAGCCCTAGGACATTGAAGACACAGAGAGCTTTACATACCTTGGTAGTGTAGCTCATAACTCTGGGCTGTCAGCCTTGGAAGTCAGCAGATGGATTGGCCTGGCAGCAGGGGTCATGAACTCTATTGACAAGAGTACTTGGAAATGCCGGTACCTGTGCAGATGGACCAAGCTACGCATTTTCAAGGCCCTGATAATGCCAGTTTTGCCATATGGTAGTGAAACCTGCAGATTATCTTGTGCCTTGGAGTCTCATCTTGATGCCTTTTGTAATAGGTCCTTGTGCCGGATCATGGGATATTGTTGGTTGGACCATGTGTCCAACCTACAGTTGCACCATGAGACCACAATCCGTAATAGCCAACTCAGGCTATACGGCCACCTGGCTCGCTTTCCTCAGGATGATCCTGCCCACCAGGTTGTCTCTGTTCGAGACAGCCCTAGGTGGAGGAGGCCTGTGGGACGACCTAGGAAGTCGTGGCTGGGGCAGATCGATTAAACCTGTCGTGAGGAGCTCGAGATGGACCGAGTCCCTGTCTTGCAGTTTGCCAAGAGGGACCCTCGTGGGTAGAAACAAAGTATGGATGCGGCTATGCGCTGCCGTCGGCGTTAGCTCCTTAATGATGATATATACATATATATATATTTATATATAATGTATGTGTGTATATATATGTGTGTACATATATGTATATATATATATACATACATACACGTTGTGTACACATATATACGTATATATATATATATATATATATATATATATATATATATATATATATATATATATATGTATGTATATATATATATTATATATACCTATATATATATATACATATATATATGGATTTATATGTATTGTGTGTATATATATAATACATATATATACCTATATATATATGTATATATATGCATGTATATATATATATATATATATATATATATATATATATATATATATATATATATACACACACACACACACACACACACACACACACACACACACACACACACACACAGAATAAAATATGTAAAAGAAAAGATTTATTAAAGAAATATATACATTTATGAACTAAGAGTCAAATTTCTTCATTGGTTTTGACATGTACAAAAAGGTGTTTATCTTAAACACTGTAGATACCCTTAAAACCTCATTACCTCAGGCACC